CGCACTTTCCTCACCGGTACGCAATGTTTGGTGAATCGGAAAATGTCGGAACATTTCTGTACCTATTTTTTGGATTTCTACTACGTAAGCAACCTACCCACGTGAATCCTACACACGCTCTGATCTCTGAAGATGGTATCCATTGCACTGAAGTACCACTTTAAACGAAGCGTTTCTGAGCTGTTTTTTCAAAGTTCAACATTGCCTCTTTTTTTTTTATAGATCGTCCAACAGGTGGACTTCAACAAGAAACCAGCGCGAATGAGCAAGAAGCCCATCAACTTTGCAGTCATCCTGAAGCTAAGCAAAGTCAACCTCATGGAGAAAGCCTATAAGGTAAGTTTTATTGTGACCACCCGCTTGAAAGGGCAGATATTTAGAGTTAGGTTGACCATTTAGTGTGACACTGCTCGTTGTGTGCACCTGTTTTTGTTGATACTTTTGATATATTTTTTAACAAGGTGGTGTAGCAGCTGATCAGTTGAGTGGTTCAAGTCTTAGTTAATGTCATTTCACTATGCTACCTTGCCCTGCGTGTTAGCCTGCGTCTGTACATAAGGGGATTGAGGGCAGCACTGAAAGCTCCTTGTCAGGGCTCTAAAACTGGCCCTCTGTCGCCACGCTCAGCCTGCAGCCAAGAGGATTGCAGCACGGCCCTCTGGGATTATCCCCTGCACTCCGCTCGCTAGGGCTGTTTTCACCTTGGCAGCTGCCACAAACTCCTGCCTCGTAGAATCCCAGCGGACCCCATTTAACAGGAACTGAGCCGTCTAAACCTGAGCACTCATTAGTCAACATAGGCTAGAAAGTCTTTCAATTGTCGTCCCAACCCGCTTCTTGTCTAATACTGCAGATTAGGGCTGTAGCATCTATTGTGTCTTTATAGTCAACATGCACGATACAAACATTGTGATGGACTGTGATATTGCAGTTAGGGAGTTTTTTTGTTTGTTTTAAGAAATGTACAAGAAAACTGCACTTTAAAATGTAATACTTCTTATTTGATTTGTGCCGTTCAATTTGTTTAATGGAATCGTGTTGGATTTTTCTAAATTTGAAAAACAAAAAATGGTATTGTAATTTAGCAGTATAATTAAAGCAACAGTAAGAGCAGACAATACCTGAATATAAGTTTATATATTGCAAGTTATATCTCCTGGTCGTGTCTAGGATGTTGAGTAGGCATGTTATGTCCTCAAGCATGATCTGCAGAGTATTTGGTGAAGCAATTCTTTCTATACGTCTGAGGGGACCACATTCAGGTGATGCATGACAGCTAGGCTACATTTAGCTTGATAATTCCTATGGCAATTGTCTTCGTTTATTCTGTTGGACACCATGTTAGCTTATCTCTCTTTTCTAAAGTATGATAATGTTTGTTCATCTTGATGTTCTGTTGAATTTTAGGACGGCTTGATTGACCAGCTGTATGACCTGATACTGGAGTACTTCCACACTCAGGCCACTTCCATCGGCTTCCCAGAGATCGCCCTGCCCACAGCCATTCAGGTAACTCAACCTGCAAACTGAGTTTGAGAGGAAATGTCTTTATCTACACACACACACACACACACACACACACACACACACACACACACACACACACACACACACACACACACACACACACACACACACAGGTGTTACACAATGACATTGATTCAGTCTGAACTAATAAGGAAGCGGTGGCTCTGAACATCATTTCCCGAGTTAAAAACCTGTCTGAATAGATGATTCAGGATCTGCCAGGCTTCATCGGCCCCCCTCAGGGGAAACGACCACAAACCCTCCTCAGCTGTGACTGAACAAACCGTATGGGCAAACTGGATGAATTTTTTTTTTACATGGGTTCCTCCTTTTTCATACTCCCCCTGCATGTCCCCTACAGCTGAAAGCGTTCCTGAAGGAATGCAAAGTGGCCAATTACTGCAAGCCAGTGCGCCAGCTGCTGGAAAAGGTACAGGAGAACAGCAACTACATCACAGCGCGGAGACAGAAGGCCGCCTTCGGAGTGGCCGATGCCACCGCTGTGGTGAGTGTGTGTGTGTGTGTGTGTGTGTGTGTGTGTGTGTGTGTGTGTGTGTGTGTGTGTGTGTGTGTGTGTGTGTGTGTGTGTGTGTGTGTGTGTGTGTGGACTCAATGATGGAGGTCCGGATGAATGTCCTGATTTCAGAGGCTGCCTCTCCAGAGTCCTCATTTTACCTCTTTCATTTGCTTCTATTTATCGTCAGTTTCTCTCTCCTAATATTATGTTTTTGTGGACCTTTAGATTTTTGTTACATCAGTTTTAAATGCAAGCATGTGAGTTATAAATACATAGCTGACGTACAAACTTCTGTCACCTTACCTGGTTCTACCGCTGGCCAGTTAAACTCAAAGGTTACAAAAACAGACCAGTTCACTCAGTTATAGATATCCAAAGATGCTAATCAGGTGTTATTGTCAAAAGTTGCAGTCTTTCTTAATTGAATATTGTTGGCTCAATATTTAAGAAAACAAGTTTTAAAAGCCTTTATCAGATGGCTTTTTAATGTTGAAGACAAAAAGTATTCTTTCATGGTGTCCTCCCCATGAAGCGGCCATGTAAACTTCCAGGTACTCTGGACGTTTTCTTGTTTATATCTGTTGGTATTAGGTAACACACTTCTTCACCTCAGACTGTACACGTGTGTACCGAAGTGTACCGAACGAATATAGCGTTAAACGTAAAAAATAGAGAACGTGAACAACTTTTTGGAAGTAATCTCAGGTGCTGCGTCGCAGCGTTCAGAGTAATTTGCTCACTTTGGTTTTAACGCGTCATAGAGCGAGCAAGTCATTTCATTGGACGAGAGGCATACTATGAGAGCTGGTCACAGGGATGCGTTCAAATTTAGTCAGTAATTTGAGGAACTGTCGAAATGGCGAACGCAGATAAAGTTGAGCTCGAAAATCCTCCGTTCGCCATTTCGACAGTTCCTCAAATTACTGACTAAATTTGAACGCATCCCTGTGACCAGCTCTCATAGTANATGACGCGTTAAAACCAATGTGAGCAAATTACTCTGAATGCTGCGACGCAGCACCTGAGATTACTTCCAAAAAGTTGTTCACGTTCTCTATTTTTTACGTTTAACGCTATATTCGTTCGGTACACTTCGGTACACACGTGTACAGTCTGAGGTGAAGANGCTGGTCACAGGGATGCGTTCAAATTTAGTCAGTAATTTGAGGAACTGTCGAAATGGCGAACGCAGATAAAGTTGAGCTCGAAAATCCTTCAGCATCATTGAAGCCTCCGGTTTGGGAACATTTTGGTTTCGCAGTTACGTACAAGGATGACTGACAAAGACAGGTGGACCGAACCAAAGCTGTTTGTCGGCATTGTTCAACTAAAATTGGTTACGCAGCTGGCAATACATCAAACTTGCACACTCATTTGAAAAGGCATCACCCGAACGTGAATATCACCGGTACCAAAAGAAAAAAGACTGAAGTGCAAACCCAACTCCCACTAGCATTTAAGCCTCCATCACTCGCAAAAAGTTCAGATCGAGCCAAAGCTATTACAAACGCCAAATATCCTTATGTTGCCATGTTAGCAAAGCGCTACCTGGCTGTATCTGCTACCTCTGTCCCTAGCGAGAGGGTGTTCTCCACAGCAGGAGACATTAGTGCCAGCAGATCTGCCCTTTCAGCAAGCAATGTGGACAAGTTCATTGCTTTGGATAAAAGCGTCTAACAAATGACATGTAATGTAATGTAATGTTTAAGATAATCAACGACAGTCAACAATTAACCAGCTCAATCTTCTTGACATACTTAATCAATCAAGTTTGTCTACATATAACACTTGTTTTAAGGAAATACTATGTGTAATTTTTTGTTCCATGATTTAGATTGGCGTTACCTGCTTCACTTTCCTGCTGCACTCAGCTCGACATTTATTCTTAGTTATGTGAAAGATGGAGCAGTGCGTTTCAGATGCACCCAAAGTATAACTTCCACTGTAAACGTCTGTTTTGGGCTCTTGTCCAGTTGATCAAGAGGCTGCAGTCCTAGCTGACGACCCTTCAGTTACGGCGGCTAATGGAGACCACTTCCCTGAATAAACTCTGAGCCCGGTTAAGAATGACCCAGTGGTTATTGGAAGCTCTTATGGGCTTTTGAAACAGGGGCGCCTCTGTCTTAATGAGCAGCCATTAGTGCGTTTTCTGTGTTGACCTACTCTCTCTATGCTACCTGTCCACACAAACACGCTTTTATGTGGCTTTGCTGCTGCTGAGAGCCTTGACATGTAACTGCTGATTCATATTTAAGAGCGTTTAAGGATTAAATTAAAGAGGATGGTCTTTGTGTAATTTACCTGATGAGAAAATGTGTGTGTGTAGACACATGGGAGTGTGTGTGTGTGCGTGTGTTAACTAAGTACAACAGACAGACAGCACGGCACCGCGCCAGCTCCTGTCTCCCCGGCGCCCTGCTCAGTGGAGGCTGTCGCCATGGCATCCACTCTCTGGCATCGTGGCAACATTAGGTGTCACTGCGGGCGGATGAGAGGGGACAGCCTCGCTGCTGCTGGGAAAAGGCCACGGCCCCCCTCCGGCCACCAGCCCCCCGCTGACATGTCACCCAAACTGAGAGCTAGCCTAATTAACGATGCCCTGCCTCGTCCAGGTCGCACTCTGACGTCTCGTCTTTCTCCGCTGCCTGTATGTGATGCTTTGTTTTGTTGGTCTGAGTCTGGGCTGAATTCAGAACTAGCGTTTTTCTAGTTTTATTTTCTTATCCTGACTATACATTTTATTTTTGCGTGCACACGTCACCCATCTTAATAGCCACATGTCAAATTGTTGTAAATGTGTTAAGCTAGCAGGGGCTGTAGGCCGCAGTCTGTTTGCTCTATTGGATTTGTTGGTCGGGTAATGTGATTGAGCCTAATCAATATCGTCCACACAGACCTTTAGGGCCTGGAGAAGATCTGCTTTCAGGCACCTTCAATCCGTCTTTTCCACATCTTCTGACTCTGTCTGCTCTGTCCATCTCTTTCTCCCAGTCAATTGATTTAGGTGGAAAGCCACATGAAGTCGTATCCCTTTCAGAAACTGCAATGGAACACACAAAAATAACTCTCACCTTGGACATTCATTTGGTTTAATAAACGCGCCCACACCTGCTATACACATTCTTCCACACAATTGTAATAATCATGTCCTCTGTCAGGTGGCATGGGAGAAGCAGATGAAGGAGGAGGGGACTCCCCTCACCAAGTACTACACACAGTGGAAGAAGCTGAGGGTGAAGGAGATCCAGCTGGAGATCTCCGGCAAAGACAGGGTAACTTTCCAACCAAAACATAGCAAAATGTGCTTATCCCACTCAGTCATCATGAATTACTTCTGTCTTTTTTATTATGAAACTCACCCGTTACCCACAAGAGAGATCTTACATAAATCATGAAACAGTCATGCATTGTTGTGGAACATTTGACTGGCAGAACAATTATTAATGGTCAACACAATGAAATCAGTATTGTGTGTTTACCCTGCTGTTTTGTGTTGTTTAAAGATGGAGGATCTGGAGCTTCCAGAGATCAAACGCAAAAAGACTGAGGACAAGAAGGTGGAGGACAAGAAGGAGTTCACGGATCTGTTCCATTCCGACAGCGATGCAGATGAGGATGACGGAAAACTCAAAATCAGAGGCAAGCTGATTCTCACATACACTAACTCATTGAAACAGGCATGTGTTGGCCTCTAGAGGGCTGTGTTTTGTCACAGCATGGCACTCTGCACTAAAAGAAAGCAAAGTTGAAGACGTGATGACAGTTCAATCTGATTTCTAGGCTGTTATCTTCGTTTTTGGCACTATATTAAAGATTTGGCTACATGAAGCCGATCACCTGCAGAGCAGTTACCACCAGAGTGTTTGAAACATCCACAGAGACAGTTTCTGAGGAGCTGGAAATTCAATTTCAAATTAAACTCACGAGAAAATCTCTGCTTATCAGATAGTATTTCTCACTCTGCATGAGCCTGATCTTTCTTTAGTGTGTCTCGTCCTCTAGGGGTCGTCCACAGGTCACAGGCAGCTGCAACCTCGCTTTTACAGCTTTACACTCGGACACGCTTCCAGCTGAATAAAGCCCTCCGCAAGGTCAAAGAGGAAAGGAGTAGGAGGAAGGGGGGGGATTTTTACATCTGGACTTCATTGTAGGGAGAGTCCGAACAAACGGACGGGCAGCTGCCGGTAAACGACGGGCCTCCGCCTCTCACTCTGTCCACCCCTCCCTCCCTCCCTTTCGTTCCTCTTTCCTCCACCCCTCCTCACACTCACACGAGCTGAAGCCCCCCGACAGGAAGTACAGGCTTGGATCCCAGCGGGGGTTTCTAATTCAAACCAGCCCAGTGGAACAGCCAGAGGAGGCCGCTCCCCCCTCTCTCTCTCTCTCTCTCTCTCTCTCTCTCTCTCTCTCTCTCTCTCTCTCTCTCTCTCTCTCTCTCTTCCTCTTTCATTCTAGCTCTCTCGCTCCCTCTTTCTGGCTCTGTGGGCTTCGACCAGCTGCCCCCGCATGTCCTCGCAACACATGCGCACACAAAGACGCGCACATCTCGATGATAAACGCACACCCACCACCTTGTCGTCTAGTCCCAAATAGCCAAAAGCTTTTGAGCCGCTCACCAAAGCTCTTTGTGGTCTCACACACACCCGGAAAGAGGGGAAGTCTGAGAGGAGGGGGCTGATGATTTAGATTGGTGTGTGTGGGTGGTGTCAGTGGGGCTAATACATCTTCCAGGTCATTTGGGGGCAACCTCCAAGGTACTACTGAACTCTGCTAGCACCATGTGAACAACAAAAAGTGGGAGAGTGAGAGTATTGTTGTAAACTTAAATTAGACGGGAAGGGGAGTACCTGATGCTTTTAGATGTTGTTTATCTGTGTTTGTTTAAGTGTGTGTGGTTGTGCATGTGTGAACATGTGTGTGTGTGTTTGATGTGTGTGCTGCAGTGTAACAGACAGAGGAAGTAGCTCTGTTTTGCTTCCCTCTCCTCCACGCCCCCAGCCTCTCATAACACCTCAACTTCAAAGCCTGTGGACCCTAGTTGTCCCTTTGGCTAGACAACACACACACATATACTGCACTCTGTGTATACCACAACACAAATTCATCCAAACTTCCAAACTTCTCTCTCTGGTGCACACACACACACATCATCCTCGTAGCCGTGGAACCTGCCTGCTATCTCCATTTGCTATATTTAGGCCTTGAGCACAAGATGTCTGAAATTGCCGGCAGTAAACTGTCATGGGTGTTTGTGCAGCGGCGTCTGTAATCGACTCTCAGTTCCATCTCAGGAGGAAATAGACACTTCCAGCTGCCTCTGAAGCCTGGCCCACATATAGGTGTCTCCGAAGTCCTCAGACGTCAGCGATGAACCAACGCTAACTTAGGAATGTCTGAAGAAAGCAACGGCAGACAAAATTAAATGTAATGTTTTCCACTGTCTTTCTGCAGGGAAAAAAGACCGCCGTGGGTCAGATGATGATGATGATGATGATGACGATGATCTTCAAGGTCTCTATGACATGAGCGATGACGAGGAGGGCGGAGACTCAGGTTGGTACAGTATTAATCATGGTAGCACACATTTGTAGTTGACAAACTTTTGAAAGGGGTTTTTGGCTGTGTCACTCAGTATTCAGAAGAGACTGTTTTGATGTACACCATCAGAGCATTTCTATAAAGGGAAACCAAGTACAATACGTTTGGTAACTGTTTAGCATTTATGGAGCATTATAATCATTGTTAATTTATGATTAGCCGATCAGGGCTCCTACAGCTAAAATAAACTACGGCCGACATCTGAGGACATGAATAGGGAAATACAGTTTCAACAGAATCATATTGTTGTGATTAGATTTTCTGATGATAGTTTATTAGTTTAAGATGCACCTATTCATTCTTATTAATGAATGCCTTAAAGTAAAAAGTCAAGTAAAACAAGTTATGGTTTAGTAGGGTGAACAAAAGTCATGGTCAGACTAGAGTATGTGCAGAAATTCATACATTAGTATTTCTAAAGAAGTCATTAATTTGTTTGTCGTCAGAAGGTCATTGTAGAATAAATAATAAATCCTTATAGTTATACATTAATATATTGAAAGAAAGTCATACTATAGTATATCCAGAAAGTCATAGTATTGTATTTTGAAAAAAATCATGCATTAGTATGTCAACAAAAGTTAAATATTTGTATGTTAAAATAGTTATATGATAGTTTGTCAATAATACATTATGTTGTTATAAAAAGGTTGTATGTCAAGTAAAAATCCATAACCCTTTCATTAAAACAAATGTTGGTTTAATAAATATCTATTGTTTTCCCTGAAACATAGTATAGCATTCATCACAAAGTCACTGTACTGTTGTTAAAAAATATATATACAGTGGGTACCGAGAACCGGTACTAAGTCAATAACGGTACCTGATTGGACGGTATCGGTATACCGTTAAGCCGCTGGACAAACGGTGCTGCTATCGGTATATCTGTTACGTCTACTTCCTTAGTTTAACTTTAAACCATTCTGGTTGGTTGGGAACCCTCATCCCGTGTGATGTATCCGGTTTGAGACCCCTCTGATTGGCCACTGTAAATGCCACTCCTCATCTCTCTCAACAGCGCTCTTATTATTGTTGTGAGACTCCCGCAGGCATGGCGGACAGAGCCCTTTATATAGACGCTGAAAATTATTTGAACGCCATGTTTATTGTAAATTTATTCATTATACATTCTTTAACGACTCAAAGTAGTACAATCAATACATTCAACAACCGTACTGATCTACCGTAGCAATCCTAAATAGCTTAGCCATGACGAATAGCCCATAGCCAAAAAGCTATGAGAATAGCTTGAAAGCTTAATTAACGACAATTATTTGATTTTCTAATTCCGCTCACGGACGTTCTGACGTGGGTCGCATTTGTTTTGTATAATGGTGCACGCGTCGTCGATGGACGCGACGCTGACAAGCGGAGTACGGTAAATGTGTGCGCGCCGTCTTCGGGCGATGCTGGTGATATCGTGATAATCGGTGATCGTCATAGCGATCGTGGCAAGTTAAGTTCCACAGAGCAACGTTACGAGTAATTCACGAAACCAAGGGGAAATGTTCGTTGATAACTTATGTATCTAACGGTGGAACGGTGATAGCCGGGATGAGTAAAATTTTCACGTGGGTCTGAACC